CCCTGCCCTCCCTTCACCCCCTCCTCCCCTCCCCATCTACAGACACTTTATTTCCATCTTTTCATTATCTCACATTTTTTTCTTTTCCCTTATTGCCCTTCCCCTACCCATCCCACCTTTTGATTATAATAAAATTTCAAAATATGTGAGGGTCAGGTGATTATTATAAATGAAAATATCTTTATTAGTTAAAAGAGTAAATTTATGTATATTGAAACTGTTCCACAAATTAATATTATTATAGAACTTAAGATAAATAAAATATATTGCTCGTGATTAACTAGATGAAAATTATAAAAAATCATAGATCATGTCCTGGTCTCCAGAAGTTTTGTGGCATTGTCACACACAGGTTCTGCAGTCCAGCTGAGAGGTTTGTGTCTGGATTGTATAGAAATAGAATGGAATTTTAAAGTAAGAGCCTCTCAAAACATTTTACCCGTACTACTCTATAGAAATAATTTTGTATGATAGCCAACTTTCGTCGAGCCACAAGATAATTTACAAAATCATAATCCCTCTTCCATGGGCACATGCTCATGTGGCCAGAGTTAGCACAGGTTGAGGGGAGGGGTATATGGATCAGGATACCCAGAGTAGAGGCAAACACAGTGTCACTCAGCCAGCATATTCAGAAATCAAGTGAGAAACACAATTACACTTTCTAGATCCTATGGGAGAGGCACCTCCCATGGAAAACAAACACTTGGAAAGCTCTTACAGAGTAATGTTCTGTAAAAAGGAGTAAAAGAAAAGAATACTTTGGAAGAAGACCTGTAAGCAAGAAATCGTAAGTACAATTGTCTAGGAGCAAGCAGTGTCAGACACGAAAAAGTGATTCTCCAAAACTGAAATGATGGGGCTCAGAACTTTTTGGAAAAAAAATGTAAACACAAACATACCCTTCCCCCTCTTCCACCTTGACACATATTTGAATATCACATAGGTTATTTATTCTAGAATTTGTGTTCAGCACCAAATTCTTTTAAGGATTTCATAATTTTTCATTTCACCCCCCCCAGCAATTGTGTGTATGTAATGTCTAAACACAACATATATAACTTGTGCCAGTTTTACTCTGTTAGACCCAATAGACAGGTACCCAAAATTGATGCAATTAGGTAAAGGATAGTTGTATGTATATTCTATCTTATAATGGATTAAAACAAGTATGAGAAAAGAATCAGTCAGAATACTGTGTAGTATTTGTAGTATCTGATTTCAAGTTCAGGTTTATATTTCCTTTCCTAAAACCCATATGTCTCCAATCAGCACCAAAACTAAAAAACACAGCTTAATAATGCAAAGGGGATAAAAATTCCCAGAATTTTCTTCAGCACTTGACATCTGATGCATATTATTTTTTACATGTATCTTGGGAGATTTTGACAATAAGTTGTAATTTTCTCATCTTCTACTACAGTGCAAATTATTTGAGAGACGTTCCTGTTTTCTTTGCATATAGGAGCCCTCAATAAGTATCAGGAGACTGAATAAATGAAGTAGCAAATGAATGTGTGAATGAATGGATCCTTTTAGTTCTTCCAACTTGTCTAATGGGACAGTAAAAAATGTAAAACCAATAATAATTGTGACTATGCATAATTGTTGTAGGATATTTATAGTTTTATTACAGTTTTAATGCTGGATTCCTAGTTTTAGCCATAGATTTTACTGAACGGTCTATCAATCATTCTAAAGAAGGTCATTCCTGAACTCTTGTGACCATAGACCTAGAACCAAAAGTTTTTCATCTCAGGGATGCAGTACTGGGAAGTGACCCTTGACAATGGTAAATTGTTTGAAATAAAATCATAGTGGAGATAATTAGGTGGTAATAGGAGCCATCTGGAAATGGAATGCTAGTTAGTGTTGCAGGCAGGCTCATAGCACAGAGATGCAAATACTTTTCAAGAGTGACATCCAACATCCAGGTGCTGGGACACGTGCAAGTCGGAACCACTGAAGCACGGGCATCTCTGCTTGCACTCCATACATGTGGTCTGTGGAACAGCTGGCAAGATAGATGGAGATTATCTACTTCTATTTTCCTTTTGAACGGAAACAACTGACATAAATCTATGTGAGCCAAGCATCTGATTAGAGTTTACCAGAAATCTAAGAGAGGGGAAGAGGACAAGTTCATCATGGCAACAGTAACACCTGTTTCTTGACTGAGTTTTCTATAAATAATGTCTAGGTAATATTATGCAATTCTCTAATTTCTCTTGAGACAAAATTTCCAAACAATATCAAAATCTTTGCAGTGGTTCATATTTCTTATTTAATAATTTAA